CGTCCTTGTTGGGTAGCCCCACTAGAAGGTACTCAAGAGTTCGATCCATTTCAGGGTTCGGAGGCTTCGCTACATAGTAATTTCAGGCAGTCGAATGGAGAATATATCGATCTTGAAACCCGGCAAATTCATGATTGTCAGTTGCTTAATTTACAAATGCCAAAATATATTATATGGAGATTAATTATTATCGAAGTTTCTTCAACCACACAGGAACTCGCACAAAACCTTGCACAACTTCCTGTGGCTCAACTTTATTGGAGCAATATCGAAAGGGGGAATGATTTGTATACATCCAAGAATGTGGACATAAGGAGAAAAAAGAAAACAGAAAAAAAGTGAGGCAACGTATCTGTTTGCCAGTTATGTATACGCTTGGCCTGTGGTGCAGCTCGCTCTTATGTCATAAAGTTGAAGGGGTGGTGCCTCAAATTCGTGGCGTGTGTGTTCTTTGCTGTAAGCGTTTCCTCCAGCTCCAGGAATCGTGATACACGCAACAAAGTATGTTCATTTTCACTAAATAATTTAATATTGCTCTACGTATGTGGACCAATTTCGGTTTCGCGGCGCCAAGTTGGGCAGCGACTTCGATGCATAGGTGGCTTCGTCATAGGACCATACAATGATGTGACGTACATTGTGCTGAGTTTCGTCTGCTCCCACGCACACGTGCCACACATGCGCCAGCAAAACAAATGCGCTGACAGCCAGCTGAAGTAGCATCCACGCGGTGGCAACGCGAAAGGCAGACAGAAGCAAAGAAAGCGTTTATATTTACAACTTATGTACAGAACGTGGATGAAAAAGACGCCCAACGCCAGATGCGCCAGCCTTTTATAGATGCTGAAGGAGGAGGGGGCAGCCCCGCTGTTGGACGCGCGCAGCGTCTGGGACAGACGCCTCGATTGTCCGTGAAAGACGCATTGAATGTCTCCTCGAAAGCACTCAGTGTCCTCCATGAAATCACGGTGTACCTGCAAGGGACGCCAGCACACTCATAACAGCAGGCTCGTTTCGGAGATGGTGGACGTGACTCACGTCACTACAAATCTGGTGTGACGACACGACAACTGCCGTTGCTTCTCCTATTCTTAAATGTCAGCGTTGTTGCGCAAGCGATTGGTCTAGATCGCGAGAATGAGCATTCAGCTGCACTTTTAGAAGTGAAATAAAACATATTCTATGCGTTTGTTGGGCCCGACCCTTCATGTAGAGAGTCCTTGCGTACAGAGCAAACCTACAACAGACTTGGGATAGCCTCGAAATTTGGTGGCACCACCCTTTTAGGATACAGAATAGCGCCGCATAGGTTCGCCATCTATCGTGGTTGTGAAGTATAGCTATGCGGCATAGCAGCACTGTTTCTGTAGGATTCTCCTTTAAGCCTGTCACCAGACGCCAGTCGGCATCACTGGCGTGTCAACGACCAGCGATGGAAGAAGAAACACCTACATTCGAGACTGGGCCACGGGAATACAAGAGCATTTCTGAGTCCATCCGGTAAACCAAAAACGTAGCTTAGTGCTAAGTACTATGCGCAGGTGCTGCCGCCGTCACGCCGAGTGGCACCAGTTGTGAACGATGAAAACTAGAGTCACACACGCGTTAGATATGTACTCCGACATTAAGAGAGCGCCGGTCGCCACACGATGAGCCTACAGCGTCGGTGATTCAATTAGTTTTTCGAAAAGGCTGCCTAATCTACATAGTAAATACTTTACTGTTGATGCTTAGGGACTAAGATGTAATAATAATAATAATAATAATAATAATAATAATAATAATAATAATAATAGTAAAAGCACCAGTGTGTAGCTAATGACCAACAGAATACACGACTTAATATACTCTAGGAAGGCGGCAACCACTTTTGGTGGCGCGGCCATGCTTTTTGAGTGCGGCCTGTGCATCAGCTTCTCTGCAGTGCATGATTGCTACCAGCATTTGGAAAACAAATTCGCCACTATGCTACCTAAAGGTAGCATATAGAATAGCTATAATCTGCCACGCTTATAATATTATATGCACTTTTAGATGGAAATGAGCTCCATTGTCTTTAGGGTTGCGTAAGACCTTAAGTTACCTCCGGCGGTCAGGATGCCATTTTCCCGAGCATATACAATGGCGACCCATCTGAACGCAGCCTTTACCATCGCCAGTAGAGCTACGCGTACAGAACTCGAACAAGACGATAATTCAAGACGATAATTTTCCTTTCTACGACCCATGGTCAACCTCGACTGTATACAAGAGCTCTGTTGTAATGTAACTTATGTAGCGGTATTAAAATTCCCGGACGCACCCCTTTGGGTGCCAGTAAGCCTCGGCTCGCATGACGATTCTCCCTGCATTTGGAGCAACTCCCTTTGCGAACTCGGTAACGAAACAAAAGCTTAGTACGCGCCGTAATACTTTATTTTGCTACTGAAAATTGACAATATCTGAGATGAACTAGGTTAATAAAGAAAACAAAAAATGCTTTCTAGGAAAGCGTGGGTGCGTCGTGGGACAATTGCGTGTCTCACACCCGTGTGTACGCATATAAAATGGCGGCTCAAATGTCCCTTCTCACCACACTTGAAAGGACTTCGGTCGGTGGCTCGTCGCGTTCAGTGTCGGTGTTGGGGCGTTCCCGGCTCATGTGTTCTTTATGGTTGCACTGGACCACACCTCCTCTGTAAACTTACGACCTGCTCACCGGCGGCACCCTTAAGAAGGCGTGTGGGACCAAATATTAGCGCGTAGGGACCGGAGATACCGCGAGATGCCACCGCGACTTACCCTCATAGCAGACGACGTGCTGCCGTATTGGTGCACTCGTGTGTGAGCGTTTCTGCAATTTTAAAGAATAGTCTTTCTTGGGGACCTTCGACGCAAAAATTATGGTCTGTTTGTCCGCCCTCAACGATACCTTAACAAGCACCAGAGTGACCAGACGATACCCCAAACGGCCGACCCCATCTGCAGCACCCACCAATGTTGCTCAAAATTCAGTGTTCACACTTGTGTGATTGTCAAATAAAAACAATTATTCCGCATATCTGAGGCACCATAACAACACATGTATATTCGGTATGTGCGTCTTTTACTAGAAAAGACATAGATAAGTAGTTCTAAGGACCGTAGCGTTTATCGCACTGCGCTGACGATGCAACGCTTGCACGAAAAGGCGAGTGTTTCCAACGCTTTGCCAAGACGACAAGGTGGTGGCACCTACCCGTCGCCTCGCGTTCTACACCTTATCACCTTTCAGGTGGGCGCGCACACCCGTCTCAGAGCCATGCGCTTTGTTTTTGAAAAAAACTGCCAGATGGCGGTCATCTCTTACGTGTGACGTGACTTGATGCGCTCGTTCACCTCCGCTGCACGCTCGAGGCAATTTAACGCAGCGCCTCAAGAATACCTTTTACCGATTGCTTGCGCAGGACATCGAATAAACGTTTTGTGCACTCTCTACACACGCAAGACTATCGTCTTTCGACGGCATTTGCACACTGACATGTCGATACAAGGCCATTTTTTATCTTATTTATAACGCACCGATCAAGCGACCTACAGATTTAACGAATCGAAGCAACATTCTAGCTGTGAAGAGCATCATGGTGGATGGCTTCGGGATGTACATTACAGGAACTCAATCTGCGTGAGCGCTTTTGTGTCCCCGTCTGAGCGCAGGCGAACGCAATATGTGACACACCACCTGTTTGTTTTGCGCAGTACGCCCCACCTCACCGCTGTCTAGAAGGTGTTGAAATAATACGTCCTAGGACAAAACGGCGATCTTGCAACGAGTTGTACCCTGAAATCAGTGTGTTTCTGCGACGCAAATAAAGACTCACGCGGTAGAGATAGATATGTGTGTTTAACGTTTCAAAACCACTATATGATTATGAGAGACGCCCTAGTAGAGGGCTCCGGAAATTTCGACCACCTGGGGTTCTTTAACGTGCACCCAAATCTGAGCACACGGGCCTACAACATTTCCGCCTCCATTGGAAATGCAGCCGCCTCAGCCGGGATTCAAACCCGCGATCGGCGGGAAGACTCATACGGTACTAACAACGCATGTGATGACCCGTGTAAGTTTACATACTCTGCATATTGTCCTTCAATGATACTGTTTTCGAATAACAATAGAAGTGAGTAATTGAGCTATCATCTGGCCAACGTCCAACTATCGATGGAAGCGTGCGATAAAACCGGCGGGTTACCGCTTTGTCGTTACAGTGATTTCTCGCACCTGCAGCAGTTCGTTGCAGTTATCGCCACTAATCCAGCGCTGCTAGCATTTTCGTGAGTTTCTCACCAGTGATGTCACCAAGATTTTATCACTGGAGCAGCAAAGTACAGCGCATTAGGTGATAACAGCTTTTGTCGTGCTTCATTTCCGTAATTATAATGATGTTTTTTCAGAAACGCGATTATCAGTGTAAACTATGCGTTCTAACTGCCCAAATCACTTTTAACAGTTCATGTTCTATTTCATGAGCTTTTAGCATGGACGCTGTCGAATCTAAATAACAAGAAACTAGTGAAACGATATCCCAGTTGACCACCAGCCACTCGACTTTCAGAATAGAATGCAGCAGTACATGATTATGTGAATGACGCTGCATATAGTGAACTAGAATAGTGCTGTACCTGTGGTACCCTAACGCTCCCGAGTCCGGAACAAATATCCTGACAAACGCTTACCTTGAAATGGCACAAAAACGAGTCAACGCTTGACGCACCACGCAGGAAAGCGCTTTGGCGGCTGCAGCGAAGAGGGTTAGTTGTGGCGCCAGGGCGTGCTGTGGCACTTTTGAGAACTAAAAAAAAATCAAACAAGCAAAGAAAACCTGGTGACATGAGCGGTGGCATGAGCAGGTCGTAAGTCTTTGGAAGAGGCCGTGCCCGGGACAGATTCTCGGCTTGTAATGCTGTTCACTGATATGCCCTACGTGAAATACTGGATGCTTCTGTATATGAAATGAAGCTTCTTCGTATCTAGATTTGCTTCACATGATCAGCACCGGGATCGCAACACGTATTGCCACAAGGAGTGTGCCAATCGTTGCGTCTGTAGAGACGTTGGCAGAGGCCGGCGTCGTCGAGGAAGCGGGCGTTGTTGTCGTCGAACTCTCAGAGATGGCAGCAGCAGCCGTCGGATGCGAGGGAGCGCGAGGTGTCTGGGTCACGGACGAGCGCGTGGCGACGACAGCAGAGGCCGGCTGAGGGGAGGATGAGGATGAAGTCGTCGTCGTGTTCGTGGGGACGACGGGTGCACTCGTGGTTGGTTGAAGGGCGGCTTCCGATGTCGGGCCAACGGTACCAGCGAGCGCATCCCGGAAAGAGTGGCCCTTGATGATCTTCGCACTACTCCCAGGGGTCCCGGCGTGCTCCAAGGCTTGGCGGCGACTTACAGTGCTGTCAGATGATGCCATGATGACCGCGGCTTTGCGCTGGAGCTTCCAGGAAGGGCGGCGCGGCTCGGTTGCAGAATGTTTCCCGCGATAGTTTATGCAGCGTGGTTGTTGTACTGCACACGGTCCAGGGGCGTGGTTTGCGCCGTAGCGTGAGCTGGTTGTGGTTGTGTACCCGAAGCGACCGCAACAGGAACGCTGCAGAGGCCGGGGCTAGCGGGGCTGGACTGGGCACCTTTGCTTGTAAAGAAGGATCTCAGGGTGACCATGGTCCTCGAAATCTCAGTGTGAGGCATTTGCCCCTGCGAACTCCGTTCTCGAGTGGCACTGATGAGGCAATGTTGTCAGCGAGGTCCTCGAAGGGGATCGTCTGGTCAACTCCAAAGACTATGCTAACACGGGTGTTCAGGTGCAGTTGCTTGGCGCGAACCTCAATCTCGCTTATCGTCCTAACCTAAAGCAGGGTTGTCCGATTGGTGGTGGGATGCGTGTCAACCACAACTACGTTGCTCGTGAAGTTCACCCGTATACGGTGGGTGTCAGGGAACCCCGATAGGAAGGCTGTGAGTGAATCCCTCGACGCATACGTTTGAATTTCTGGGGACATGTTAAAAAAATGGCATCACAGGAATCAATTTGTGGGCACATTTGAATAGATACGTACAAATTTCTAGTAGTGATTGGGCGTGGAAAAGTTAGTACACTTGTTCTTCATAGAAATTTGGATGCATGCGGTGATATTGTAGACAAGATGCATGAAAACACCTCATCACCTGTGAGCTGTATACTGAATATGTTCTGCAGAAAGCAGTGACAGCTTCATAAAGTTTACTGCCTCTTTTTCGTTTTCACCTATGCTACCTTTTAATTTGTAGAGAAGTAAATGTATCGCAAGTGGCGACAACTGAAGCGCTCTTCAGAGAACAAGCACAGGTTGTTACAAATTACCATCAAGGAGCTTACTTTTGAACTGAGTCTTTTACAACGGCGCTACTAACCTTTTGATTGATTATACTTGATAGCAGGCAGAGACTTCAATGTTTTCAAACCCTCTCAATGACGCATTCAACCGAGGTTTACGTAAGTCGATAATGTCCACAAACCGCGAGCCCTCTTCTTTATGGATCAACACCCACTTTAGCGACACTGATGTCTCTTGCAGAAGAGCCCTTAGTTATTCAAAGGAGAAAAATCGGTCTCTTTGCTGCTACGATTCTTACGACGCCAGTGATTACTGCACAGCAAGGGCGAGTTGCGAGGCTTCTTGTCGGCTCCTTTTAGCATCAGGTGTTTCTCTCGTGCTGTGGTGGCACTAAAAGGTAGGATGGGCCACCGGAAAATAACGTTGGCACAGATCCAGGGCACAACCGCCGTAACAGCAGTGCGACATCGATAACCCTTCTTGTCCTTGTATCTGTGTACAATGCTATTATCTCGATGCAGGAATCGTCAAAACGTTATGCGCACACCTGTACAAGCCAGCAAACGTTTCATGAATGCATGAGAACCAAAAGAGAACTAGATGCACTCTGATTTGCATTAGCGTGTTAGCCAAACGAAATCTACATAAGCTTCGGAAGCAATTAAATGAGAGCGCCTGCACGAGTACAGGTAGAAGAAATATAAAAGAAAAATACGTGATCGAGTAGCAAGCGCACGTTATGAAGTTCTGCAATAGACAGCTTGCAAGTACGGGTGGCAGCAGGCGGTTTTGCGTCATTAAAGGGCAGCTGGTCTTCTCTGTTGTGAACGGATCTTAGTGGCCGATTGTAGCGTCAGCGCTTTGCAAGGCACGGTGGCTAGACAATTCCATACTTCTCGTCGTACAACTTTTATAAGCAACGAGGAGCTAAGAACAAAAAGCATCAGAAATCCTCACCCTGTTACGCAAAGTAGGCCCGAAATCAATCCTAGGAATAGTGCGTAGCCACTTGTTCATAGCTTAAGTGTATTTGGGGAAACTATACTCATATCTCCCATCTTCTTTTCCGACTTGTAGTTGCCGTTGAGCCCCGGAACGCTACATTTATTCGGAATCGTCATACCACTTGAACATTAGGAATTAAGCGACAAACGTACGTGCCACTGACTACAGTGAACGAACCCACACTGCGCCAGATGCGCTCGCTGCCGATACTTCTTCCGAAGTGTAGGCTGGCCGTAAGTGACATAACATTGCTGCTGGACGCAAGCCTGAACAGTTTTGGGGAGGTGTCAGCTCCACGCAGCAAAACTTTAAAGACGATAGTCGTTCTTGGGGACCTTGGACACCAAAATGTTGATCTGTCTGTTTGTCCGCGCTAACAATATCCTAAACGGCACCCAATGATACGTGAAACGACCAACCTCATCCACAGCGCCCACCAATATTGTTCGAGTTTCAGCGTTCATATTTGTGCAATTCTTTATTCAAAAGCAAAAAAAAAAATAGCCCCGTATCTGCATTTAATCTGCAAATGTCATCGAAAGACGATAGTCTTGCGTGCAGAGAGAGAGAACAAAATATTTATTTGATGTTCTGCTCAAGAAAATTGGTTGATAGTATTCTGGTGGTGCTGCGTCAGAGTGCCTCGAGTGTGCATCGGAGGTGAACGAGCGCATCAAGTCACGTCATACGTAAGACATGACCGCCATCTGGCAGTTTTTTCAAAAACAAAGCGCATGGCTCTGAGACGGGTGTGCGCGCCCGCCTCAGAGGTGATAAGGTGTAGAATGCAAGTCAACGGGTAGGTGCCACCACCGTGTCGTCTTGGCAAAGCGTTGGAAACACTCGCCTTTTCGTGCAAGCGTCGCATCGTCAGCGCAGTGCGATAAACGCTACGGTTCTTAGAATTACTTATGTATGTCTTTTCTAGTAAACGACGCACATACCGAATATACATGTCTTGTTATGGTGCCTCAGATATGCGCAGTATTTGCTTTTTAATTGACAACCACACAAGTATGAACGCTGAATTTTGAGCAACATTGGTGAGTGCTGCGGATGGGGTCGGCCGTTTCAAATACTCGATGCTGTTAAGAATAGACAAACAGACAAATGTACAGACAGACAGACACACAGACAGACAGACAGACAGACAGACAGACAGGCAGGCAGACCAATTTCGCATCGAAGGTCCCCAAGAAAGACTATCGTCTTTGAAACTCTGCATATCTGAGGCACCATAACAACACGTCAATATTTTTTATGTGTGGCTTCATAGTAGAGAAGGCACACATAAGTAATTTTAAAGACCGTAGCGTTTATCGCGCTGCGCTGAGAGTGAAACGCAATGCTCAAAAAGGCAAGTGTTTTCAACGTTCTGCTAAGACGAGATACTGGCATCTGCCCGTCGCTTTGCAATCTACACCTTATCGTCTCCAAGACAGGCGTGCATTTTTCTCTGTTGAAACACATTCCTTCCTTCGTTTTCGAAGATAACTGCGAGATGGCGCTCGCGTCTAACGTGCCTCGATGTGCTCGTTCACCTTCACTGCATCGATTGAGGCTCTAACGCAGCACTTCCAGAATACAATTCACCAATTTTCTCTCGCAGAACATCAAACAAGCGTTTTGTTAACTCTCTCCACACGCAAGACTGTCGTCTTTCGACGACATTTGCAGTGACACATGCAGATATGGGGCCGAATTTCATTTCAGGGTGTATTAAATTGTCGTTATGGGCCCAGTCACCCCAACGTTTTTATAAAATTTATGAAGATTGGTTTTTTCGTCACTTCTAAAATTATTACAACTTAATTGTTTTATTGCGAATATTATGAAGTTCGAAAAACAGTAGCCCATTGGCATTGACAGTATTTCAGTCGGGTAATTCTTTTAAAGTGTACAACGGTAGTTTTCTTTCTTTGACCGGCGTTAGACAGCTCCGTTGTAAATCACCTTGGATATATGATTGTGAGCTTGTGTGCCACACTTTACATGCGGCTACCACAAAGTGAACGTGTTTAAAGCCTGTGAATCGGGTTAGCTGCGGCACTTCGCCAACATTATAATGGCTACGGGCTGAGCAGGATCCAGCGAGAAAATTCAACGCCTGCAAAATTTTAAAAAATTACCCATATACGAAAACGCAATAAAGGTGTACAATGAGGAAGTGTATTCCAATCAGTCAAAATACACTACGTTTTCTTTAAACCTCGCGTTTTTATTTTTGCATGTGCTGTAGCTTCTCTCTTTTCATCACGTTTTTTGACTTGTCCGGCTAGCCAGTTGCACCAGCTTGCGGATTTTAATGCCATATTCTCGTATTGTCTACTCCGCTGTCACATTCACCGAAAATATATTCCTGCTAAACGTTTTAACACAAATTACACCATCACATCATAAGTTTTACTATTTTCTGCACCAAACGAGTGTAATGCAATTTATTCTTATTATTTCAATGCACGGTAGAGTCATGAAAACTTGCAGTATGTTTACGCTATTCTAGACACTTTGTAAGTTTACAATAAAGCATATTACATTTGCATAAACCATATAGTCCTCCGAATTATGCCACTAAAACAATTCCTTAAGAATATCAATGTCATTTGGATGCTACTTGCTTATGCAGTCTTCTCATATAAGTTCTTTTTTGACATGCATTACAAATTCATTCACGCTTATACCAGAATAACGAGGACTGTTTATTTCTTCTTACAGCCCAACTGCAGCCTCCGAAAAATGTTCAGCGTACGCTTGGTTGCTTTACCTCTCAGCCTACATCAAGTCAGACGGGAATAGGTCATCACTCAAAGCTAACTCATTGGCCTAAATTCTCGTAAGTTATGGTTGAAAAGCCTTTAATTATTTAACTAATTTTCTTTTATTAGTATTTGTCTCACCCTTCTCATGACTCACTTTCTCTTTTCTGAATACTGGACAAAAAAGAGGCCATTAGTTTTGATTAATATTTAGGGTTTAACGTCCCAAAACCCCTCCATGGTTATGAGAGACGCCGTAGTGAAGGGCTCCGGAAATTTCGATCCCCTGGGGTTCTTTAACGTGCACCCAAATCTGATAGCACGGGCCAACAACATTT